TCTCCCCTCCCCCCATAAAATATCACCAAAGGTGGTTTTTAAAAAGTGTATATATTATATGGGTTAATTTCAGGAAAAAATATTAGCTTCCTGTCCATCTCCACTACCCTCGTCTCCTGGGGTATAATTGTGACTTTCCCAAGTTCTCCTCACCTGAGAAGACCACTGCACAGAATTGCACAGAAAACCTTAAGTAACTGGGGGAGGATACCCAATAGCTCTCATTTGTTACTAAAATAATCACCACTTAACTTTGATATTCTAAAAGCCTTTTCCAAAAGGCACATATAACTGAAGTGCTTTTATTCTTTGCCGCAGCCAAAGCGACCTAAAACTTCCCATAAAAGACATGGCTTGCTCTGAACCCACTCTCAATTTGTGAGATGCTGTACCCACTTTTCTACCACCTTCCAAACAAGGCTTAACTCTCACCTATAACTGCTAACATTTATTGAAGATCCTGAGCCAGGCGTTATTCTACAAGTATTGACTCATTTAATCCCAGCCATCCTAACAGAAGCAATGTCATTACCCCTTCTGTAGACGGGAAGAAAGCCTTCTCAGATGGGGATAGCACCCAGGGAGACTCTTCACTGTAAAATTCCCCAGCGGCCTAGCTGGTGTGATTAAATGTCGGCCTACCATCTGAAAGGCCGTTGGTTCAATTCCCAGTCAGGGCACACGCTTGGGTTGGGGGCCAGGTCCCCAGCAGGGGGCGTGTGAGAGGCAACTAGTCGGTGTTTCTCTCCCCTCTTTCTCGTTCCCTCCTCTCTCTAAAAAATAAATAAAATTTACAAAAAATAAAAACAAAAAACCCAGCAGTGGCCATCAAAGGTATTTATTACCTGTGAGCTTTAGAATTGTTTTCAAAAATCATTTTTAAGAAGCATCTTTTCCGTGCCTAATACAATAACAACTGAAATCCTAACCATTAAGCTCTCCCCTCTCATTGTAAATCAGTAGTCTCACTAGGGTTCTGGTTGTCAACACACACTCAAGCTATCTTAGAGTTGGGCATCTATGATAAAAGTCTTTGAAAATCTTCTTTTTCAGGCCCCAACATTACCAAAACATGATCTATATTATTAAAATGAGTTGACGTACTTGTTCTGTCAAGTACAAATAGGCAATTAACCTATGCTATGAGAAAGTAACAATTTTGCAGTTTTCTTTTTTACTAAGTCCATTGATTTCTCAGAGTAAAGGATCTATGGCCTCTTAATTTTTGTGAGTTCAAACATGTTTTGGAAATTCAAAAAACACTAAGACACAGGATGCTCATGTGTCATACTACAGATTCTATTTTTAATTCAAACATTAGTTCTATTTGCCAAGCAACTATGTTTTGAGGGTGGTGAAAAGAGTCTCCAAACAGAGCCACACCTACGATATTAAACACTAACCACTATGATTTTTTCGCTTTTGTGTTGCTAACTGGGAGTTAAGGCTCTACAATTCTGATATTCATTTTCACTAAAAGTTAACGAGTATCTTCAGACATTCAAAGAGAGAAAGCTTGGCGCTCTTTTCTCTTTTCCATGAAAAAAACAACAAAACTATTACTTTTAAAAATGTTTATGCAGGGTTTTATTGTTTTGGTTTGGTTTGGCTTTTTTGGGGTTGCTATTGCTAACACATCATTCACAGTCTGGGTTCCTAACCCAAAAGGACCCATTTTAAAAACCAGGTCTTCAGCTATGCTATGTCCAGTCTCTTTCTTCACTTTCTTAAAGCCTAACTACATCAGTCACTCAAATTTCCTAGTACACTGTTAATGAGTATTTTCACTACTGCCCACTGGCCTGTTGGTTGAATTTTATGCAAGTGACTGGCAATCAACTACAATTTTGAAGAACACAAGTTCTCAGAAAGCAATGCCAGCACTTAGTTACAACCCAGTGTAACACTCCAAAACCATCCAAATCACATAGGAGAGCTCTAGAAATATTACTGTTAGAAACAAACTTGTTCAATCCTCCTCCATGTTGCTAACTGACCTGATTTAATTATATTCCAGCGATTAAGTTTGTGAATTTACCACCTCGGCTATGAACATTGTAATCAGGGTATGTCACGAACCAGTTGTTAAGCCCGGTCAACTGGAAAGCATGTCATTAATATAAAATTTGCGTTACAGCACATGTTCTACCTGTAAACGTTTTTAAAAAAAATTTTTTAAGAGAAGCTGCTGTATATGCGGCACGAAACACAAGTCTTGAACTAGCCAGGATCACTATCCTGGGTTGGCGCACTCTTACTCTAATACAAAAACAGCTGAACGATTAGTTCTACTTTATCCTTTCAACATGGATGACGCTGGCATGGTAGTGATAGACTCGTTCCTAAGCGAAATGCTCCCCGTGTCTAAAAGGTTACTTCCGGGGCAACACGAGTCCCCACTCGGCTTTCCAGGGGCCTACCCCGCGGAGGGGACACCCCGGAAGAGTCCCACCCTCGGCCCGCCCCGGGAGGCGGGGCCGGAGTGCCAGTCACCAGTCACGTGGGCTGTGCGCCGCGGCCATCTTGCAGGACGGGGGAGGGGAGGAGCCCCTCGAGACAGGCCCCCAGTGGCGCGCGGCGGGCAGCGCGTGACCGCCGCCCGCAGCGCCCCCAGCCCGCAGCGCCCCGAGCCCGCTGGTGTGCTGACGCACGAAGGACGCACGAGAGGCGGGCACCTCCCCGCAGATGCCAAGGTGAGCGCTCCCTCCCCGGGGGCAGCGGCGGGAGGTCAAGAACAGCTGGGTTGGACTCCTGCGAACAGGGATGGGAAGCAATCCACCCCCTCCGCGGCTTCTGGAGCGACAGCCTGGGATCAAAAGCGGAAATGTCGTCCAGACCAGGCCTTGCACACGCTGGGGGGCCCAGCGTCCACGCTAACTCGCGGAAAACGCGGGGTCGTCACAGCTTAGTGAGACACAAATGACTGGTCATCGCAACTGCAAACAACTACTGGAGAAAAACACGGAACACATCACCAGGGTCTCGAAGTGGCCTTCGGCGTCACCTGTAGTACGGGTACCCCCAGGATCTGCTCCCCACGTCACCTCGTGGCCACAGCACTGCCGACAAGTAACGAGGTGCTGACATGGGCGGCAGCACGCCCCACCTCGCTTTCTCCACTCCTCGCAGCGCGCACTGGACGCCAGGAGAGGCCACACACTGCAGTCAGGAGAGAAATCTCACTCGTCTGCTTTGCACGCATCCCCCCCTTATCCAGTCGCCTTCCAGCACTTGCAATAAGGGGCAAAATTTCAAAAGCGGGGAAGGAAAAAAAGACTCCTAGCTGTTGAATCAGAAATGGGTTACCCTTGTTTTAATGACATGAACGGAATCATATAAACGGTTCCATTGTAGCGTTTTCATTATATTTGTAATCTAAGGTTATCTTTACAATATAAGCTATACCAAGAAATTAAAAAAGAAAAAAAAAAAGATAGAAGCCTTGCTCCTGAGTGCAGGCTTTCTTTTCTAAACTTAATGGCAGTGGCATATAGAACTTTTCTGAATTATTTTAGTGAGGAGGCTGAAGAATTGAAAGGGTTTTTACCATCAGTATACACAGTTGCATGCAACTAGTAAATAAACATTGTAAGGTAAAATTTCAGGCTCACCAAGAAAATTAGGCAGTACTACATTTGAGTTTGCTATTATATCCCAAAATTGAGTTAGTTACTTCACAGAAGCCTCATTTTAAAAAAACAGGGACTCAGCCTACACTACCAGTAAATACCTTCCAGCCCCCCCCCCCCCCATTCCTGGATTCTATGGGTAGAGTCCACACAGTCACTAGATTAACACAATGCCCAGTTTTACTTCCAGGGTACTGAGTGAGAGCAGATACAGGTTAGATTAACTTTTGGGGGGGGGGGGCGGGAAGAGGGAGGGGAACTCTTTCACAATATACCAGCCCAGACACCACCTAAACTGAAAAGGCATCCAAATTAATGCCTTTTCAATAATTGTGAACTACGAAAATAAATCCTTACTGCACGCAGTTTTTTTCTCCGAAACCTCTTCCCTTCTCCTCCATTCAACTGTCACACTCAAGGTCTTCATATGGTGCCTATATCATTATAAAGCTGCTTTCATGGCTGTATAAAAATTTCACCTTCCTTAATGTTTGCGACAAGTGACTCACCTGGACTCTCACCTCCTACACTTTGGTGCTTAATAACTTTTTAGAAAACAACACATGCCTATATGGTAAAGGTCCAACAACTATTCTCAGACCCAAATCCGGAGGCACTGCTCAAGGCTGTTAGAAAGCAGCTTACGCCAGAGGTAAAGGTATAACCAGCCCGCTTTAGGAGAGGTTCCTTACCCAGGCAAGCAGCGCTACTACTTAACTAATTTGAGTCAATTCGCAGGTCTCCACTTTAGATTTCTTCTGGAACGCAAATTCTTTTAAGCAGGAGCTAAAAGACCCATAACGACCCCTTATAATTCAGGCACACACAGAGCACAAAAAAGCCCCTTGCGCCAAAGACAGGACAGCACGCGGGGAGCGCACCTTAGGGCACTTGGCCGAGTGTAAGGCGACGCGTTAAAACGTGCGAGCAGAGCGTCAGACCGCGAGAAAGGCAAGGTTCTGCCAGCTGCCAGACTGCGGCTCACACGCCGGTTCCTCTAGCTCTTCGTCTCTCCCAGCACCTAGGGCCCGAGATGCTCACAGCCAAAAATGTTCCGAGACCCTTCATCCGAGGGGGGTGGGGGCCGGTCTGGGAGCACCACGTTTTCCCTGACAACTCCTTTACGGAAGAGACTTCTAGAGCATTCTGTTATGGCGGGTGCCTCTGTGTGCGGGGGGTGGGGGGTGGGGGGTGGGGGTGAGTAGAACTGAGGCGGCTCAGCAAAATAAAGATTAGTACTACGGGGCCCGGGTAGGGATTCGGAGCCACCTGCGCCGGTCAGGCTCAGCCAAGGGGTATCCCAAAGCCAGGCCGAGGAGGCTGCCGGGGCGGTGACTGCCCCGCGAGGACTGGGAGGCTCGAGCGCCCTACCTGGGCCCTGGCGCCGGCAAAGTTGCACGGCTCCACCTCCGCATCCTCGGGGCCCCGGCGGAGCGCGCTGCGGAGCCTCTCCAGGTGCTCCCTCAGGGTGACCCGCTGATGGAAGGAGAACGCCGGGTGCAGTGAAGCCATGGTGAAGAGCAGCAGCAGTTCCTCCTGGGCCCTGAAGCCCAGCCCATCGCCGGCCCGGGACTCGGCGCTGCTGCCTTCCGGGCCGGAGCCGTCCTTCTCGGCGTTCTCCTCGCCCACCCCGTCCTCTCCGCGCTCGCCGGGCTCGTCCTCCGCGCCGCCCCGCGAGCCCTCGCCCCGGGCCGCGCGCAGGCTCTTGAGCACCGAGTCCACCTGGGGCAGGAGGCGGTGCAGGCGGCCGGCGGCCTCACGGTTCTCCGAGCCCAGGAGCGCCAGGTAGACGATGAGCCGCGAACGTACGGCGGGCTCTCGGAAGTCGGTCAGGGGCCCCGGGTCCGAAAGGCCGTTGGCCTTGGCCTCCGAGTCTCGCAGGTAGTGATAGTCCTTGCGCGCCAGGTCCTCTAGGCACGAGCCGAGGAAACGCAGCTCCAGCGGGTTGCACAGGTCCAGCAGCCCGCACATGAACTCCAAGCGCTGCGCCGAGCCCAGCACCAGCCCGAACCACTCGTACACCCGCTCCTGCTCGCGCAGCGCCGCCGCGGGCCCGCCGCCGCTGCCCGGCATGCCCATCCCCGCCGCCGCTCCGCCAGCAACAGGCGGCCCGAGCCCCCGGGGTGACGGCGGCGGCGGGGGGGCGGCCCGCGACTGGCCCGCAGGAGGCGGCGGCGGCGGCGGCGGAGGGCGGCAGTCGCGACGGCGGACCCGCGGCGGCGCCTTAGCCCCTGGCCGCGCACCCGCCTCGGGCTCCTCCACCTCGGGCGGCGGCTCCACGGGGTGCGTCGGCTTCGGCGGGAGCTTCATCCTCAGCATCCTCGGCTAAGGCGGCGCGGACATGCGAGCGGAGGCGGGCGGGAGGGGCCGGGCGGAGGGGCGGAGGCCGAGGCGCAGCGCGGCCGTCAGGAGCTGGGCTCCTCCATGCCGCCGGGGGAGGATCAGGGGCGGGTCTCCGCCGGCAGAGGGGGCGGTGGCCGGCCGGCGGGGTCGCGGGAGTCGTCTTCCCGGGCCGGGGGCGGGGCGTGCCCGCGGCGGCTCCTCCCCCTGGCCTCGGCTCAGGCCCTGGTAGCCCCGGTGCGGGTGGGAGCGAGCGAGCGGGTCCTCCTTCCACCTTCCTCGGTCCCGTCGTCCTCGCTGTGCTGGGTGCGGTGGCGCTGGAGCGGTTCCCTCTCGAGCCGGAGCGGACGGAGCAGCTGGCAGACTAGGACGGGAGGCTGTGCCGGGTGGAGACGCTTGCGGGCTCCGCGCAGGCACCTCAGCCAATCAGCGGCCCGAGCCGACGGTTGCGTGAGCCTCCCCGCCCCCAGGGGCCGCCTCTCTCTAAGAAGCCACGCCCAACTGCTACCCGGCCGCCTCCCTTTCGGCAGTTTCCGCGTGGTCTTAATGTCTGGGTGGTGGCAGCCGGTGGGAGGACGCGGCTGGGACTGTGGGGCGGTGGCTAGGTGAGCCGGCGCGCGGCGAAGAACGTGCGAGGCGCACGTGATTGGGGGGGAGTGAGGAATTTAACCTTTTCGACGAGCCCTAACCCCACTTTCGACTGCTGATGCTGTGCTCTGCCTCCTGGCTTGTGCCACCGCCCAACCTCCGTCTACGCCTAGCGGCCGCGTAGACCGCGTCCCCGGGAGCGGGGGTCCTTCCTAAGTGAGAGCGCTAACCCCAGCGGGATCTCCTTCTGGCCTCTGCTGCCTGGCTGGCCTTCTGAAAGTCAGCAATGGGTTAATTCCCACCACAACTTTACAAGGATCGGTTGTTTTGACTCTGTGTTGAGGATCGCGGAGCCGGGGCGGGAGGCAGAATTGTGGCCTGGTTGCGGGGAACCCGGCCCAGACACCTGGATCCTGGGCGAGCGTCCGCACCGAGGGCGCGCTGCACAGTGCGGAGGTGGGGACGCGCGACCACCGGGGCGCGGAAGCGACCCGACCCAAGGGAGTCCACGGCTTCTGCGCCGAGTAGGGACGCGCTAGTGTGGCCGTCCTTGGCCTAACGGTTGCCCCTGGTCTGTAACGCTCTTTGGAAATTACTCCTACGACATTTTAGCAAAAGACCCCCGCCCCGACCCTCCATTTTTGGGAAATCATTTTATTTGTCAAGTAACGCTTTCGTGCCTAACGCTGGCATTTTGAAATCTGTGCCGGTGTGAATTCCCTGTGACTTGTGGAACTTAAGAAGCTACCACCTTGACATGCTTTTACCTTTTCTTTAAAGGTTGTGTTACATTTTTAAAGTTTGAAGACCTCCAAAATAGATCACCGGCACCGCTTGCCTTTATTTTTATTAAAGATCCAGCCGGATCTTTTGAGGATTAATTTTAAAAGCTGATTTTTAAAAAATCCGTAATGTTTTAAGTTGAAAAGCCCTACTACAGCTACATAGTAGGAGTATGTAAAAAAATAAGAATCACATTGTTGCTCTTTTCTAAAATATCGGACGTCTGTTGGGAGACTAATTTAAAAATTAGTAAAAGGCTGGACTGAAGCCTCAATCAGTTTCACTGATAAAATGGGGAAACAATTATTTTCAACACATTTGAGACTGGCAAAATACAGGGAGGGGCAAAAGGAGGTTTACAGTTGTTCCTACGGAAAATACAATAATAATACAAGAACAAACTTCCATTACAACTGTAAACCTTTTGCCCCTCCGTGTATATGAAAGCCATTCTTTCACGTAATTTGCCATTTCCTTGCATTCTCTGAGTGTAATGTAGAAATCCTAAAAATCAGGAGAAAATTTTATGAAGACTTCTGACAATTATTTTTTCCTATTCACCTCGACTGTCCTGTAATCTTCTACACTCTCTCATCTCCTGTTCCCACACTTCTAAAGCACACGGTGAAATACTTAAGGCAACAAGTAATATTACCCTTACTAGATCTTCACAAGTCCACAGTGAGTCACCTACCCAGATGGAGATATTTTGTGTAGTAAGCTAGTATTTTATCTCTGACATGATTTTTTGTATGTGACCCAGGCAAAAGGTCTTTACATTTCTCATGGCAGTCAGAAGCCATTGGTGTGTATGGACTCTCCACAAACTTAATCCATACATTTTATGTCAGAATTCAGATTTGTAATCAATAATGACTTCCCCACTTACATCTTTGGCCAATGTTAGGAAATGCAATGATCAAAGCTCCTGCACATACATGACATACAAGGTCTGTCCAGAAAAAGTCCAACCATTGTTAATGTAATGAGAGTGGTTTGCACAACACCGATGTGACCTGGCAGCCAAGGAGAGTGGACTGGAATGTGTATGCGTGAAAATGATGACTTCACTGTACTCGTCAGTGACGACTATAGATGCTGTTGAGTGAGCACGTGTACTGTGTGTCCGCCCCATTCAAAATGACTGAGCGAGGAGAGCATTGAACCTGCGTCATATTTTGCGTTCAGCTTGAACATTCCTCTGTGGAAACTATTCAGATGATTCAGAAGGCCACCGTTATAGGCAACTGGTGATTGGCAGCTTCACTACAACAATGCGCCTGCTCGTGCCTCATGTCTCATGCAGTTTTTTGGCTGAACAGTAAATCACCCAGGTGACCCAGCCCTCCCCCCGACTTACAGCCCAGATTTGGCACCCTATGACTTCTGGCTTCTTCCAAAACTAAAATCACCTTTGAAAGGGAAGTGATTTCAGACTATTGATGAGATTCAGGAAAATACAAAGGGGCAGCTGATGGAGATTCCACCAAAGATTTTGCAGTGTTTTGAACAGTGGAAGAGACTCTGGGAGAACTGTGTGAGGTCCCAAGTTGCCTACTTTGAAGGGGACTGAGACGTCATGGTCCTATGTACAATATTTCCTGTATCTTCTTCAATAAATATCTCTATTTTTCATAGCACATGGATGGATACTTTCTGGACAGATCTTTGCATATACATGATTTTATGATTCTGGTTATCAAACATGGGCTGGACAATTTTGTTCTTTATCTTCCAGTGCTTTGTTTCAGAGCCCTCTCTCCATACTGCAACTCACTAGACTGGGCCTCAGTGAATTTCGCACCATAAGGTAAGGGAGAGAGAACACCTTCAGTGGATGTGATATACTATTGCAGTGCTTTTCGGGGAAGGATGCACATGGAGATTCCAGGGTGAGGTGTAGGTGTGTTTAGCTGGGAAAAACTACCCAGCAGATTCTAATAAATTGCCCGAGGAGGATATTCTTCCCACTGGGTCCACCTATATATTACCTGTCTCATCATTCAGATGGGCCAGCTAGTTTTACTGTGGTAATGGTGGGTGTACTATTTCTCTTGTCCCTTGATGATATTCAATGCATATTCAATATACTTTGTCTTATTTTCCACTTTAATAATGAAGATGTTGTTATTGACATTACTGTCTAAATATTTACTTGTAGCCAGAAGACTGTTTTCAAGTTAAGGTTGTACCTTGAATTAAGATAATAGCCAGTTACGGAGGATGGAGGAGACCTTCCCTTTTGCAACTGGGTTACTGCAAGAAATTTCACTAAAGCCACAGCTAATTGGATGGCTCAGAACAGACTAATAATGGTATCAACCCCATAAAAAGGATACCCGCATACAGCCACTTCTACAATCTGATTCGTACCAAGAACTTGTCTCTTGTGAATATTGACCTATTTGCTCCCTTTCCCATTACACCTCCCTGCCTTTCTTCTCCATTAGAATATAAATATCTTCCCAGCAGTGACCAAGGCTTACTCAATTTTATATTTTGATATCTGGAACACAGTAGATGTTTATTGAATAAACAAACGATTGAATAACACTCCAGGAACCAAAACTGACTTCCAAAAGTTCCTGGGATCACCAGAATCCTTGTTCATATCTAGCAGGGAAGAGAAAACATCTGTGTCCCAGCCCAGACTAGTCCTGAGAATCATTCTAACTGAATGGCTTAGGTTACATGCTCCCATTCCTGGTAATTCACTGGAGCCAGAGAAGTGGAGTCAGCTTCTTCAGACTCCTGTGGGTCCCCCCACCCCAAATCCAGAGCTGTTGGAAAGGAAGAAGGGAAACATGATGATGAGGAAGCAACCAGCATGTGTCTGATGTCACTGTACTTGCCATCCGCAGTTTTGATCACTTAAATTGTCATGGGTTTAAGGTGCCTCAAAAATAAATTTTTGTTCAGTGGGATTACATTTTTGTTTAGTTAGATCTTACATTTAAGAGAGATATTAAATATTGAATTGTTTTTTTAATTTTTATTTTTCAGAGAATTTTTATGAGCTTATTTGAGCCAAAACTGCCAACTGCCAGGAAGCAAGTTGCTTCTTTAAATTGTTTTTAAAGATTACAATTAAATAGTTGGCCTAAAGTTCTTATAAAAATGCAGGGACATTATTCATTAATATACAATGTTAGAAAAAATTAACTGCATATTTAAAAAATTTTTTTAAAGTTTTTATACAGTTACACAACACCCCACGAGACAGATTTGAGAGTGAAATCATTAGCTTGGATGCTGTGACAATATTCCTATTGATAAAGTGGGAATCCAAGTTCAGCTGTGGTGTATGGTGCATTTCTGGAAGACTAGTGCTGGGCTAAATTCGGAGTTTCCCTGGAGTTGTGGTTCCCTTTGTCAGGAGCATTCTTAGGGATTTACATTGACCAGGTGCCCAAGTTCTACCTCTTGTATGTTGGAGAAACCCTGAAATCCAGCACATCTTGGAGGCTTGTCCAGGGGAAAAACAAAAAACAAAAAAAAAACTTGATTCTAAAGTGTGTAGGTTTGGAAAGTCCTCAGTCTTCTGGTTTGGGTTAGAAATTGAGAAACTGGATGGATGACATTAGGCACTTGCCTGGGTCTATGGGATG